AGTGGAGGCTGGGAAACAATAATGAGAGTGCCCGCTTTTTGGTGTTATGAATAACAAGAGATGGATCAAGAGACGAGAGTGACTTAGAAAAATTTGGAAGCTAAATTTGAATTAGATGGGGGCTTTCAAGTTGTCAAAGTGTGAGAAATGACTAGATGCCGTGGGTTATATTTAATTAACTGTAAATTTCAGATCTCATATATACCGATCTCAATCTCATAATTTCGAATACTGAATAACACAACAAAATCAATCTCAATATAAATCACTAAAAGATAACTCAATATTCGATAATACGAAACAATGATAAATTCGGTACAATAGTTTGTATATCTCAAATACTGATACCAAACTTTCAATCTGGTATAGTCAATAGTGAGCTATATTTATCATTACAACCATATTGTATAATGATATTTCCTTTTCCTATTCTTGTTCGGTAAATAGTTAATAGCCTATTAAACTGAAATGAGCATTTAGACAATTTGGACAAAAAAAAAATGAATATGGATGAAGTGACTATCACTCAAACTTAAGTAACAAACTATAGAAGTTTAGAGACCTATTTGTTAATTGTTAGTGACCCTTTAGCCTTCAGGTTATTGACCAATTAAAATAACTCAACCTCTAAACTTCTTTTGAGGAACTTTTCTGTCGATATGTTCCTTCTCCTCCAAACCAAATTGCGTGTTTTTCAATGTCCTTCTTGAGTAGTTTTTAACCGTCTCGGAATTGTGCTCAGAAACCAAAGTTTAGTTAGGTGTGATTGCAAGAATAATTAGTAAAACGTGCCCACTAATTGAAGCATAATACATGTAAGGATTCCAAGGTCAAATTAGACTTTGAATAACGCGTGTCTAACATTAACCTCATTTGTTTACATGATTCTAGACATCGGGCGATCCATCCATTAAAACGGTCTGTCCAATTCAGTCTAAATATTATATAACGAATTTAGCAAACTTTAAATCAATATATTACTTTTCACTTAAAAAAAAAATTGAAACGCTAAAAGGGCGCCCCTGCCTGATACTTAAATTAAACGGGTTTGGAAGATTTCCAAAACGTCATACAAAATCCAGAAGGATAGACCCGAGTCTGTACTCGCAAAAACATGGTATCCTATACTAACAGAGTGGCTTTTATTGGCAAGAAAATCTGCCACTTTGTTTCCTTCTCTATAAATTTGAGAAATTATTACTTCCCAGTTCTGCTGTAGCAGCCCCTGAAACTGTAGAACCAGATTATGGTACCTGTGCTCCGTCGTATCTTGGGAGGTAAGGATGCTGATGGATGTACTGGAGTCCAATTGGAGGAGGACTTTCCTGTACCCTTTCTCCCACGCCATTTGTAGGCCTCGAATGGCAGCATGATCTCTGCTCGGGTAATTGTGCACACACCGAGGTTTTCCACAAAAGCTCCCATACATTTTCCCGTCCAGTCCCGGACAAGGCCACCCCCTGTTGCTTCCGATCCTGGTTGCTTCACTGAACCGTCGGTATTGACACACATCCAATCATATGGTGGCGGTATCCAGGCGAGCCGCTGTGCTGTCTTCTTGGGCGCATCTTTATGCGAAGCCGTGTCATTTTCCTGAGCTTGCCTGATAGTTGACGTCCAGCATCCGATACGTTGCGCCATGACATGATCATCTTGAGTCAAGTTGTGGAAGACCTTCTCATTCCGTCTTTTCCATAGATACCAAGCTGCCACGCCAAATAGAAGCCCTTCCTGATCCCTCTTAAGGTGTTCGCAAACCCAAGGCCGTAAGTTAGTACAGTCTCCTGAATATCCAGCCTACGCCATACCTGTATGGAGCTCAGACACTGGCGCAATATGTGTTCGGTGGTTTCCGGTCTGTTTCTGCACGTCGGGCATGTAATGTCCGTCGTCAGTTTTCTCTTCTTGCGCTATGCATTCGTCATCAGCCTGTCATGAAAAACCAACCACAGGAAATGTTTAATCCGGTTCAGGCCCGCCCATTTCCAGAGTCGCTTCCAGTGATGGTGGTCATTTGCCTCCTCCGTCTCACGCTCCTCGTCGCTCAGCCACTCTACTGCGCTGAATAAGCCGAATGCAGCTTGAACTTTTCGTCGGGCTCCATACCCCAAGCTGTAATGTCTTCACCCGATCCCGGCATGGGAGGGTCCGTACTTGCAACCAGGGCAAACAAATTCTGAGTCAGGTGCGGCGCGAAATCCTGCCACTTCCACTCACCTTCATTGGTGACCATCTCGGCTACGGTGGCATGCCAGTTGATTCCCTCGCCATTGCCTGTGATATGCTCGCTCAGGATAGTTCCCTCGGCTAGCCAAGGATCTGCCAAAATTGGACATTGTGACCTTCCCGAATGTCCCACACGACCAACTGCTTGAGGATTGGCCAAGTACCGACAATTCCTTTCCAAAGCCGCGAGAAGTTGCTTTTCTTCATTATCAGAGCCCCTGCCTCGTTGACTTTGAAATACTTCCCTTGCAGGATGGAGATCCAAAACTCGTCTGACTTGTTCAGGAAAGCCCACCCCAGCTTCATAAGGTATGATAAGTTGAGAGCTTTTGTAGATAGCATGCCTAGGCCGCCAAGCTCCTTTGGTTTACAAATGGTTTCCCATTTGACCAAGTGAGTCTTGGAGACTCCGTCTTTTGCTCCCCCAGATAAAAGCTCTCACTTTCCTATCAATGGTGTCGCAGACAGAGATAGGCAGAATCGCCGTTTGCATGACATAGTTCGGAAGGGCGTTAAGCACCTAGGTCGCTAAGGTAACTCTTCCTGCCAGGGAGAGACTCCTCGCCTTCCATCCTGAAAGTCGTTGATCAATCTTCTCCAAGATGAACTTGTAGGAATCTTTAGTGACTCTGGATGGATAATCGGAACACCAAGTAGCGCCCCAGGTTGCGTGTTTGTTTGATCCCCAACATGTCACTTATACTTTTCGCTTTGGTGCGCATGATAAATAATTTAATAAATATTCTAAACTACAAGAACTCAATAAATTTTGTATTCATACAAAGATCACTTGTATTACCAAGAATAATAAGGGATTGTATTCTTCTCGGAGTAGGGTTTGTCCGACTGTAGGATTGACTTGGTAGAATTGTGTGAACTCGAGGCTTTTCCTATTGGGAAGGTGAATAATTGTTCGGTAGATCGAAGTCAAGAAGATGGAAGGTTTGATTCTGGCTCCTTCCTCGTGCGAGTTTCTAATGAGAAGAAGGTCAATTCCTCAACAATATTAAGAGAAAGGGAAGAGTTTGATTAAACCTATGCTTAAAGATTGGGTTAATTGCATGGTTGGCCACTTGAAAAATGGCCATGTTTGATCATTCGAAATATTTAAATCCATCACTAACTTTAGTGAAAACATTCACGTTTGGTCACTCTTCGTTAGTCGTCGTCCATCTTCGTTTACAGAGTCTGTTAAGTGCTGACGTGGCGGACGGAACTATCTAATAAGCCCTATTTAACCCGAAAATAGGAAGCCCAACCGGCCACGTCATTAATGCTCGCCACGTCATCTGGACCAACCCAACCTCCTAACCAGACCCGACCTGTGAACTGACCCACACAAATTAAATCCCTAAATCTAAAACAAATCCACTTATCCCCTTCTTCGATCGTGCCTCCTTCCTCCCGACTTTCTTCCTCTCCCCTCATAAACGCCAGAAACCGGACCGAGATCGGGGTGAAAATCCAGGTCAAGTTGTAATTCAGATTGACTTGTGACACTGGACCCATGGATCTGGCCGTGAGGTAGAGACTTTTAGAGGCGATGTAGGAATGGGTGTCGGAAGGGAATTTGAGGCTCGTCCCAGGGTTCACAGACTCTGGAACTCCAATTGTTGCACCGTAGATGTAAAGCTTATCATCGCTCCACGACCGAAGCATCCTAGTATCGACCGGTGGCGAAATATCGTTGCCACCAACATTCGAGCGATATTTCTATAAATAAAATATATTCAAGCGATAATCATTCTCCAAGGCCGATGAATTGTCGATGGCATAAGTACTGCTCTGTCCTATGATGGGCAAAGCTCCATTGGGGTCTCCATAGATATCATCCATAGACACAACCTATATCTCGTTCACAAACGCGAAAGATCTAGAAGAAGTCGAGGAGGGGGAGAATGTTACATTAAGAGATCTGGCGTCGACGTTGATGGAGTATTCCTTCGCGATGACATCCCCAATTGAGAGCCCATGCAGTCTGGGCGGCGCTAAAGTTGTTGAGCAGAGTGAACCCGCAGGCGGAGACGGAGAAAAGTGCATCAGTAAAGTTGAGATTGTTGTCGTAGGAAGTTGGGTAGAAGTAGAGGCGGAGGAATTTGTGGTCGGAACCGACTGGGAAAGAGTAGGTGAAGTTAGAACTGAAGATGCGGGCGGTCATGAAGGGGACCTGAGCGACGCCGGGGTTTTGAGAGGGCACAGCGGCGGTCAGGGAGTTCCCAGATGAGGGCAAGTACTTGGAGCCTTGGTTCACAGGTCGGGTCTGGTTAGGGGGTTGGGTTGTTCCATATGACATGGCAGACCTTAGTGACGTGGCAAGTCGGGTCTCACTATTTCCGGGTTAAATAGGATTGATTAGACGATTACATCCGCTACATCAACACTTAAAGGACTTTGTTAACGGAGATCGACGACGTCTAACGAAGAGTGACCAAACATGAACGTTTTCACTAAAGTTAGTGACCACCAATGGATTTAAATATTTGGGTAATGTCTATTTTTTATACAAAAATAAATCTTTTTTATTAGTCAAACCTATCGAAATACTAAGAATTAACCAAATGTTAACTTTCAGTTAACAATTTTGTTAGTAATATTGATATGGCAACATGATATTGATTTAAAAAAGACACATGAATGTCATCATTCCAAAATTTTAGTATTTTTACTAAGAAAAGAGTTACTCAAGTATTAATAATAACATAAAAATGTCTAATATTTTTGATGCATTACAAAAGATTTGACTAATTAATAACATTTTAATAGTTTTGAATAAAAAATAGACATTATCCTAAATATTTTCAGTGACCAAACATGAATAATTTTTATAATATCAGTGACCAACCATGCAATTAACCCCTTAACCCCTTAAAAGATTTCACTTTCCAGAGCCATAAAGTGCCAAGATCGTTAACTTTCAACGTTAAGCAGCCTGAGTGAACATGGCCATTTCTCTTGCTTTTCAAACCAGCTGACTGATCCGGAGAAAGATTGCCCAGCTTGGGACTAATACTGTAGTTTGTCAAGTTCAGAAACTATAAACTGGCCATGAAAACATCAAAGAATTGAACCAGCCGACAATGTGTATCAACTCTCAGTTCGCTAAAAACTAGGGGGGAAGTTCTATCTGTACTCTTCTGGGAGGCGGTACCCTGGAATGACTAGCTTGTTGGCAAACATCTTGCCAGTCTTGGGCATGACATGCCAATGCAATGTCAGGTTGAAATCCTTACCCCGGAGATTGCTTCCCTGAATGAGGAAGACGGTTTCAGTAACAAGAAGTCCACAACGCATTGACAGCGGAAAAAGGAGAAGAACGAATAACTTAGCGTTTCTTACCTGATCAACAAACCGATACTTGTTCGCTGTCTGAACCCAGAACTTCGCGTGCTCTTTGGCTGGGATTATAGCGTCCCAAAGTGAAACCTAGTGCATTAACATCCAATAGCAAATGAGTGGAACACTTTGTTGCACTGAGAAGAGAATAAACCATCATTTGTTCTAAATATGTGAGGCTCAATTTGAATGTATAACTGAATTCAAACGAGAGACTATTGCACATTCTTTAACCAAAAATACCTGGTTCAATGCGTTCTTTGGGGTTTCATATTCAGCAGCTACAAATACGAAAACCTGATCCAAAAACCGAACAAAATACTTCACAATGACTTAATTTCGGCACATAAACCTAACATCTGCTGGTAGTCTATCTATTTTATCAAAACCAACAACCAAGAGTTCAGCAGAATATATATGCCTACATTCAACTTCTGAAGCAAACAGAAAACAACTAAGTGAATGGAATATACATAGGGAATCCATTCATCTGCTCATATGGTCAATGTTATATCGAATTTAAATGCCTTACTTCTGTATGCAAACGTGCAGTTTCAGTTTACAGATGAAATGACAATTTAAAGAAGTTACTAGGAAACTAGACAAGCAGTATGGAATAACACAAACCTGCTTTGTATTCCATGTAAAGAGTGACTGCAGATCTGCTGTTATGTTCATCGTAAGACTGACCTGCATCGAGAAAGAAAATTTTATCTCCCCAGAATCAATTGGATATTTTATGTGAAAGAGCAAACATTGGGGAGCATGTGAAATACAGTGGAAGGTATCTAAACGAGAAAATGTCCCCCCTAGTTGTGCCGAACCAATTTCACTGAGAGTAACTCTACTAGATCAAGTATTTTCAACTACTCGGTTCATAATCCTACATAGGCCACAAAATTCATTGAGGACGACACTCCGCATTCCCCATAAATATCAATGACAAGCCAATCAGGCATCACTCTTATGTTACTAGTCAATATACCATAGCAGCAGTTGCATCAATTGGACTAAACAGGCAGATAGGAACTACATCCCAAACCTTGAAAATCTTCTATCTAAACCAACAATGGGCAAACAAACAGATGGAAAGCGAAGCCAGAGTTACTAAACCCGCTCGCGAATACCACAACACATGATTTGGAGCACTTGGCAAGTTCACTTCGTGCCATTAGCCTATATCAGCATTACCAAACCCTCTTGAGAATACCACAACACAATATCTTAAGCACCTGGCATCTTCACTTGGCGCCATCCGCCTACATCAAGATTTAGATCCAACAATACACGCGGCTAACTTGAATGACAAGAGGTCCTAAGTCCTAACCCTTCAAGACTAACACCTAAACAGCTAATCTCATATCCTAACTCCTAAGCCCAAACAAAGTTTGAAAACTTCAGTAAGAAGTAGCCAGTAGAAAGCAATTCATCATCTTAAGTTGAGAGCCTACGACAATAACATGAACGATCAAGGCAGAAAACCCAGAATACAGAAGCTAACACAAAGGCAGCTGTTGAAATCCTTACCTCATCATTCCCGTGAGGCTGTTTCTGAAACCAATTGATGTTCAATATCTGCAAATCAAAACCAGAACCCAGAATTTAGAAACCCAAATTGAACAAATCCAGCTGTGAAACAGAAGCAAAGGGCAGCAGCAAGATAGGGCGAATCGCAAAGGGAGATACTGCCCGACCTGGATTTCGGAAGACGGACGGGGAGAATTGAAGTTATCAGAGATGGAGGCCATGGCGCAGATGAGCGCGAGGATGGTGATCCCAAACGTCAGAACAGCATTGGCTCTGAATCCAAAGGAATGCATCTCCGAATTTGTTCAAGTCTTCTAGCAGGGGATCGGGAGGTAGATTCTGCCGTTGCGCTGCCGAATAGTTGCGGGTGACTTCACCGCTGTTGCACAGCTGCCGGCGGCGCTGGAGCGTGATTTATGGAGAGGTTTTGCCCAGTCGGGGAGCGGGAGGAGAAAATGAGGCGTTTTTACCGAGTTGGAAGCCGGAGAAAAGGAAAATGCGTTTTCAGAGGAAGGTTTCTTTTCGTAGCCGGCTTTGGCTGACCTGGTGCACTTTCATTGGGTTAAACACGTCCAAGTCGTACGCCCGTCTAGCGACCGGTGTTTAGCTGTTGGCTCGATCGAACAAATAGGTTAATGGTTCAATCAATTTAGCTTGATTTAGCTTGGATATATGAAAACAATTCCTATATTTTTTATATACTTATAAATTATATCAAATCTCATCTATCATATGAGTAGGGATGACATTTATAGCCGTAACCGCGGGTATTCGACCCTACCCAACCCGGTCAACGAGGGGAATCCCTGCATTGATTGGGTATGGGGCGGATACAGGTAATACCGACACAGAAGCTTGTGGGTGTGGGACGAGGATGGATTTGAGTGTGTTCGCCCCCATACCCATATCCACCCATTATTATTTATGTCATATATTATAAAATATAACTACTGTAATGTAGGAGTTGTATGTGGCAATTTTTATGTTTTTTGGAGATGAATAATTTGGTGTTGGATTATTTATTAGTACTTTGTTTATGAAACTTCGTAGGAGTTGGATGATCTAATTAAGATTACTAGTGGTTCTTTATTAGATTCATCAATGATTATGTTTGATGTTTCAACCCAATAGTTATATGTTTTATTGAATTCAAGTGTGTTAATTTAGTTATAATCATAATTAGATGTATGGGGAGGGGATTACCCTCGAGTATCAGAAACACGCGGGGATGGGGATGCAAAATCTCCCCCGCATGGGGATGGGGAGGGTATGGATTTGATAATTGAAAATGGGGATAAGTTTAGTACAATCCGCCCCAAACCCGACCCATTGCCATCCCTACATATGAGTAATAATATTTATGCAAAATACACTTGTATAACCATAACTTTAACGTTTGTGACAAATATAACCATAATTATTTAAAAACACAAAATAACCAATTCCGTCCATCTCTTTAACAGTGCTACTTAACAATCTGACTGGACTGACGGAAAATACTGAGTTGGCAATTTATGGTCCCAACGAACCGACGTGAATTACAAAAAATATTAAAATATAAAAAATCATTATTCACCTCATAATTTAGTTTAAACACAAAAAGAAAAAGGAAAAAAAATGACCTAACACTTAACAGGCGGCCAATTCCCAAAAGAATCCACTAAGGGGCGTTTGCTTGATGACTTTGGGTCATGGATTTGGGACTCAAATCCCAAACATGATGGATTTTAGCCAAGTCCATTGTTTGTTGTCAGGTGTTAAATCTGTGGGGTTTACGGATTTGTTCCCTTTTTTGGATCCAAATTCGTGGACCTCACAGACTTGTAAATCCCACATATTGGGGTGGGATTTGTAAATCATTGATGGCTAGTTATATTTATAGCAAATCCATCATAATTATATTATCAAATCTATCATGCAAACAATAGACTCTTCAAATTCATGATGGTACAAATCCCTCATAAATCCAAAGGTTTTTTTGAGCCAAAATCCTCATTTTTCAAATCCAACAAGCAAACGACCCCTAAATCCCTAAATCTGCACATTGACATCGCTCAACCTTTTTCTTCCCCCAATTTCGCTTTCGCTCCTCTCATCGACGTCGAGCACCTGATCCCTGCGACTATGTTCTGATTTCTTGACTACCCAGCAGAAACAATAGCTTATTTCCGTCGACGGCTCCAGATCTTTAGAAAGAAGACAACCAATAGTCAAAAGCGAAGGCAATTCTAGAGCATGAGATTTCGAACTCCAATCCCGGCCACCTGAGTTGCCTCGACGTCGTGTACGACAAATAGAAGCTAAGATCTGTGACTACCTCTTCCTGGACAACAAGAGCCGAGAAGATAAGCGAATGGATCGATTTGCTTTCACGATCCCCACTTGCTGATTCTCTTCCTGTCACCCTTCCACCCCCAAATAAAAACCTAAATCGTCAGCTTCCCCCACCTTCTCAATCCCTCCTTTCTCTCCTCAACAAACAAAGTAGGCGGAAGCGATAGGAAATACAGCGACGAGATGCAGCGGCGACCGCGATGACGGCGTGTCCGTGAGGATCTGGCAGTATGGAGGCGCGCGAGCTTTGATGCTATACGGTGAAAATGGCGGGCTCGTTGAGGAGTGTGAAATCGGTGTCGGTGGTGAAATTTTCCGGTGGTTTTTTTATAGCTAAAATCGGAGTGCGTTGGATAGCTGGTGAGGAGGCGGCAAAAATTTCCGGTGAGTTGGAGGAAGGGGAAAGGTAGGGTTGATTTTTTTTTGTTATGATTATATATTTTTAATTATTTTTTTTTTCAAATTAGTTGTTGACGTGGCAATCCGCGTGTACAGTATGCTGATGTGTAGTTGATGTGGAGGTCAGATTCCGTCCCTATGAGTGTTCCGTCAAACTATTTAACAGAGTCACAGATGACGTTAAAGTTTCTAATGGATTAGGCTAGATTTGTCGCACTGCCTTCAAATTTTTGGGTTATTTTGTGTTTTCGAATAGTTATGGCAATATTTGTCACAAACGTGAAAGTTATGGTTATACAAGTATATTTTGCCTAATTTTTAAACCAAAATAACAATTCCTAATTGGATCCAACATATAATGAAAATTCAAACACACTCATATAACATCAATATTTAAATGTTCAACTTAGAATTTCAAAGATAGGGTAAGCCGAGCGAGAAAACCGAAAAGAGACACATTTCGGAAATCAAAAGAAAAAACGACACCATGTGACCTCTAAGGCTCCAACCAGGGAACCTTTTTATGGTCGACTTGCAGGTGTGTTGCGCCTATTTTCCTCATCGGGTTTGGGTCAACTCAAGTTCAATGGTGGAGCTAGGTTGAAGCTAGCCCCCCTCAATTTTGAAATATAGGTAAAATAATATGTAAAATCTGTACAAATTTAGGAATTAGAATAGTCGGTAAGCTTTTAGCTCCCCTCCCCCAATTACGACAATTCAAGTCAACCCCCGGTTCGAATTTTGACTTGCCACTGCCCGTTGTGGGTTGACAACCTTGCTAGCGGCGTGGCCCTTACTGGATATTTACTTTTTGACCGGATAGTATGATGACAATTTTGACCTGACCTGTTTTATCCGACCTCTTTATGCTAGTGCGGATATGGGTAAAATCCTCAACCTGAAATATCACTCCATTCTTGACCCATTTTTGTTTGATATTTTCCTCAAATTATTTAAGATTTTACTTTCATTACTTCATATTTTAGCTAGGGTTTATCACAAAATAATAATAATAGTGTAGTTAGGGTCAATAGTTTAATATGATCCCAATTTTGCATATAATGATAATTATGGCTCCAACTTTCGTTAAAGATAATTTTTGCACAAATTACGAAACAATGAACAAATCTGACTCAACTTTTAATTGACTCCTAATAATAAAAGTCAACTATTTTACTCTTGGTAACTAAATAGATATGATCCAAGACCATCTCTAATAAAATAGTGTCAATGCTTCTAAAAAACATAGTGCCAAAATGCTAGCTAGATTTGACACTTTGACTCTTTAAAAGAACTAGATTGTGGCCCGGCTGATTGACTGGGTAGTTTATTTTTCATTTTTAAATTGGTTAATAGCATTTTATATCCCTCTATTATTGTAAATTAACAAACGTACCCTCTGCTAATTTTTTGCACAAACATACCCTTCTACTATTAAAACGTAATGAATATACCCTTTCGTCTAATTATCTTTTAAGTGTTCGTTTAATAAATGAGAAAATGACCTAGTTGCCCCTCACTAGTATTTTTAATTATTTTCTGTCCCAAATCAATTAAAAATTTAAACAAAAACCCTAAATTAGTCCCCTCCAACCTTCTGTCTCCCTCAAGACCTCTACTCGGCGGCGGCTGCTCCCAGCTTGTCCTCCCTGGCGGCCGCCGTCAGACGTAGAAGAGCCACTGCAGGATTCAACCAACACGTTCATGTGCACCTGGCGCGGCGGCGGCGACAACAGTTCCATGCCTCACGGTTCGAGGACCAAAGATGGCATCCACAGCCCTATGACCGATTGCAGTTCTAGCTCCCCAACCCAGTCCTGTCATCATCACACAGGCAATTTCACAGTCAGGTTCTAGGCATATAATTATTATCCTCGCGTAAAGCCTATGGGTGTTGTATACAAATCAATTAATCAAGTCATCATAAGCAATAACACTTTCGATACCTCCCAACACAGATCCGGTGGAGTTGGACTTATGGACCGGATGAGAAGCCGTCGCCGCCGCCGAGTCGAGGGCTTGAGGGAGCCGGAAGGTTGGAGAGGATTAATTTAGAGTTATTGTTTTAATTTTTAATTGATTCGACACAGAAAATAATTAAAAAAATTTAGGGAGGGACAATTGGGTCATTTTCCAATTCATTAAACGAACACTTAACAGATAATTAGACGAAAGGGTATTTTCGTTACGTTTTAATAGTAGAAGGGTATATTTGTGCAAAAATTTAGTAGGGGGGTACGTTTATTAATTTACAATAGTAGAAGGATATAAAATGCTATTAACCCTTTTTAAGTTAATGTTTCAACTCTCAAAGGAGAATTGTTTTTGGCAAAATACAGTTGTATAGCCATAACTTTTACGTTTTTGACAAATATAGCCATAACTATTCGAAAACACAAAATGGCCAATTGCGTCCATCATTTTAACGGTGTTACTTAACCATCTGACTAGACTGACGTAAATGTTGTCCTGGCGACATTTCGTCAGTTAAAGTCCACGTGGATTAAAGGAAAAAAAATTAAGAAATCAAAATGCTCATTTAGGTTTCTTGGAGACCCCAAATTCAGGGGCCAATTCTTCATCTCCTCACCAGCTGCTGCCGAACTCGGAAACGAATCGGAAGCAACGGTAAGCACGAAGAAGGATAAACTAATCGGAAGCCAGTTAAAAGCACGACGAGATGGGGGAGAAGGTTGAGCAACCTGCTTGTTTCCTCTCGGCGGAGGTACTGCTGCGCTGGATGATTTTGAGGTAGACGAGAGTGAGGGACATGAGGCCGAGAGATATATCACA